GGACATCCCGAAGACACGCAAGGTCAGCACGTATCTGTTCCCTGCTGTCGTTTGCGCTTGACAGGACTTTTCTCTCCAAGAGCCAAGGGAAGCTTTCCTAGAAGGATGCCATATAGTGGCTAGAAGCTCTCATGCCACCGAGTCTCACCAGTCGTTGATGCTCGTGTAGGTTTCTTCCATGACCTACAATGAAGATTTTCTTGCATCTTTCTTGACAGGGCAGTGGAGGGGCCATTGCTTCAACCAAACTCTGCTGTCTGTGTTAGAGCACAAATTAAGCAGAGAACAAATGCAGGTAGAGACTGCAGACCAGTCTATGTATGACACAGGGGCAAGAGACTTCAAGTGAAATCACTTCCAATGTCCCTAGTGAAGCTTCTCAGTCATTTTATACATCTCTAGAGGTTAAAATGCTAGTGGTTACATACTGAAAAGGGACAACAGAGCTACCCCAACTAGCTCAGTCTCACCAGTTGATCAGGACCAACTGAGATGGGACTCTGGCAATCCTTCATTTGAGCAAACAGTTGTTCTTCTGTAAAACCATCTATTCACAACCACAGCAGTCATGATGGCTATGGAAAGTTCATTCAACATATACCAGGACTTTTGAATACGTTTCCTTGACTCACACCTCTCCTCATCTCCCTCTCCCATAACTTCAAAGTAGTAGAACAGGAGCACCTGAAATTATCTAAGAAAAATTTCTGAAAGCAAATGTTTGAAACGTGGCATGCACCAGTGCTGGTAGAAGGAACTTCGCTAGTCTTGTGCCCAACCTCTGCCACAGCAAATGCTACATTAACCAGGCAGGATGCAGATTCCAGTGACCATGCAAGTTCTCTGACGAACACTATTCAATCACACAGGAAAACAAATAATTCCTATCAAGGACTCCGCACAGTTTCCACTGGGTGTAGGAGTGGGGAGACCATGTCCCACACTCASTCACTGCCTTCAGCAACAGGAGTGCAATGCGCGGCACCCGCCRGGGCTCAGCAGAGAGCCTAAACAGTAGTACAGCCACAAGCAAAAAACTCCCAGCAATTACTCTCTAGCATTTATACAAAAACATTCCTAGGACAGCAAAAGGCCAAACCCGTTTCCTGGACCCCTCTAAATTACAAGTCTTTACTCCAAAGCAAAGAGAAAATAGCAGTTCACAGTGATATGGAAATAAAGTTTTCTAACTTGTTTCATGTTTGCAGATCAGTAATTTTTCACTTAATCTCCTCCTTAGCAATGCCTAAATAGTGCTAAATAAGTGTATAAGCTCAGTTTGTTGATATACATGAAAAGACACAGCTAATAGTAAAAAGGGCATATACTGAAGTGAGCAAAATTTGTATATCTGTCTTGCATGTTAACATCCATATTGTTAACTTGCTTGCTTTCTTTAACTTGCTTGCTTTCTTTCTTTCTCTGTATGTGTGTGCATATGTAGATATATATGCACACATACACACATATACAATTATGGTGTGTGTTTATGTTTATAGAGAGAGAAAAAGATGTACAGTATAATATATTTTTAATACTATCAGGGAATTGGGATCTGCTTGCTGTTCCCATAAGGTCAGCATTTGCTAAATCAATTGAGCATTATCCACACAAATGGGGAAAAAAGCAGGCAGAAGAGTGCTCAGCTGTGGACGCTGTGCTTGGAGGTAAGAGACTTGGCCAGTATCTGCACAGTTCACATTGCCAGAGYGCTGCAGTGATGTCCTGGCTCCCCRGACAAAGTGCTCTTCCTAGGCTCAAAACTGCAGGGCCAGAGCACTCATTTTAGATCTCTGCAAGTCTTGCTTATGCCACAGGCCAGTGCCACTGTTACTGCCTGGGACTGCCCAGGCCTCCTGTTTGATGCTGAAAGAAAAGGTTTCATCAGCGTTTCCTTATGTCAGATGTATCTTACAGACTCCCAAACGGTATTTGCTATCCCAAGGGTAGAAAATGTACAGGCCATGAAAATGGTTTAAACCAATTTCTTTACCTCACATTTGCAATGAAATTGGAGCACATCTGCTGTGTCTCAGCCACATGGTGGTTCTCACCATGGAGGCTGCCATTTCTTACAGAGCAGTACCTCCCTTCTCTTGTCTCTCTCATCACCTCAAGCAGAAAGATGAGGGAAAGCCTCCCATAGCAGACTGGTATCTTTTATGTTTGGAGCTGAATGACTTGAGCTTGTGTTGCTGAGAGGTTTGCCTGTGTATTTCCACACAAGCAGTGCTAGCATTATAGAAGGCTATCATCCCAAAGGCACAGGTCTAGGTAACATCAGCAGAGCCTCTCAGGTGTAATGCTGTCCCTGGCAGTGGGGCTGAAGGGGAGCAAGGGGAAGAGAGGGAGAGAGAGAAATAACCCATAAGAAAGAGACTGATGAAGAGGAGAGTGAGAAGTAGTCTGCAGAGGATGAAGAAGGATGGACGAAGCAGGACAATTTTAACAAAGATCAAAGAAAACAGAACAGGCAAGATGGGGAAAGGAAAACACTGAAATTGCTTCGAGATAGTTGATTGACAATGAGGAAATGGGGACACCACCAAAAGAGACAGAGGCAGGGACACGGAAGACAAAAGCATTCCTTGTGTCCTGCCATGGCCAGGACGAGGCCCTTGGAGGGGTTGCAGGGGAAAAGGGATGCGAGAGGGCTGGCCATCAAGAGAGCCTGCATTGCGAGCGAGACCAAATCAGCTGAATGGCATGGGTCAGGGAGGACAGTATTCATGGACCTGCCCCCCACTCCAAGGAGCTGCTGCTCTGGATGACACAGGGGAAACTTTCCTCAGCAATCCAAGACACGAAGAGCTGGGGATGAGTAGTGGCTTTCACATTTAGCATCTGTTCGGCATCAGACACTTTTGTCCCCTCTCCTGCAGCAGTCCAACTGCCTCTGCCTACCACTGCTAACCTGTCACTTGCATTTGGGATGGGGGAGCTGGTCCCCAGCCTCTGRGTCAAGCTGTCCTGAGGCAGCAAGGCTGATGGAGAGAGCCCCAGGGTGAAGGTAAAGCAGATTCACACGAAACATGCACCCTTGCCAAGACAGGCTTCTTCTGGGTGTGCAGCGTCCCTGGGCAAGCAGGTGCAAAGAGGATGAGGGATTCATTCAACAGCCTCCTAGAAGGTGGCTGGYGGGTTTCTTGCTTGGGTTTTGTTCATTTGTTTGCCACTTCCCACAGCGTGCGGTGGAAAGCACAATGTGGGCTGTGCTCCAGCAGCAGCTGATGGACCAGCTCTCTGCTGAGAGGGAGCACGGGATGGAAGGAGAGAGGCTGCTCCTGGCTGAGCGCAGGTTCTCCTACTCCCCGGACACAGAGGTGCCCCAGAGAAGCTCACAGGAGCAGGAGAGGCTAGGTGGAGGGTAGAGAAGGAGAGGGATCTTCCAGCCATGAGACAGAGTGGCATTTGCCACTGGGGAATGGGTGCTGGTGTGAGCGGAGTCTATGGAGATCCCCCAGATCATGCAGCGCTCCACTTGCTTTCGCTGTTAACTCCTTCCCTACTGGCTAATGTGTCTCCCCAAAGAACTATTGCCATCTCACAGACCACTGTGAAGAAACAGCCTCCTACCTGCCTGGTGCAAACCAGCGATTCTGCTGCTCTCCCTGCATCAGCGATGCCTGAACACAAAGGCAGGTAAATGCCTAATGATTAACAGATGCCCAGCAGGAAGCAAGGGCATGGGTGAAGAAAGGGGGAAGATGATGAATGCCATCTGGCTCTAGAGAAACCCACGTTCTCTACGTAGTCATTGGTGATGACAGGGGAAAGGAGGGGGCGGGGGGGAATTAAAAAGGAGATGATCCTCTTCTCACCAGGGGTGGTGGAACAACGATGGTACCAACTTTGGTCTCWAGGGCTCTGTAAAGCCACAAGATAGGGCTGGGACAGAATCAGAGGGGCACGAACACACTGAAGAGCTACTATAGAGAGCAAGCAGTGTGGCCAGTCCAAGCCAGGCTGGAGGGACCTTTGCATGGGGAAAAAGTAGAGGGGCAGCAAGGAAGGAGGAAGGCATGAAAACAGGATGAGRAACAATGGGAGAAGGAGAGTTTGGGGAAAACAACTGGAGGGAGAGGAGAAGAGGGGGATGGAAGTCGGGCATGGCAGCATGGAAAAATGAAGAGAGGAATGGGTGGAAGAAAGGGAGTGGGATCAAGGGCTAGACAAGCAAGGGCAAACACTGTGAGGGATCTGGATGCACAGAGAGGCACGGAGGGGGTCTTTGCTTGCAGATCTGGGAGGGGGTGAAGATCACACTCGGTGGTCACACCTCCATTGGCTAGGATTGTTTCCAGACCTGCAGCCCTCTCCATCCCACCCACAGCTGCCACACGCTGGCTCAGGTTGGGCCTCTTAATCTAGTGCAGGCTCAGGGCTAATAAGTGACTTTAAACAGGTCTGTCATTTTTGGATTTGGGAACAGGGTGGGGGCTGAAGGGAAGAGAGAAAGTGGGAAATAAATCTACATATTATTGACACTGAAGTTCTTGCAGGATTTGCAGGAAGGCGAGGAGGCCAGGCCCTGGGGAAGGATGACCTCAAGATTTGCTGGTCCCTCCTGGAGTAACAGTGACCTCCTGTGGCTGGACTGGTCCCAGAAGGATGATTTGTCCCTTCACTTTGCTAAACCACACAGGGACCCCAAAGGGCTTTGGCTGCTCCTTATCCACAGCAGGATCGCTGAGCTGCTGTGGCACAGGGCTGCTCGCAGCATTGCCCTCACTCCACTAAAGGTGGAGTGTCTGTGGCAGGCCTGGCAGGTCTGTGAGGCCAGGTGGAAAAAAGGGGGCTGTGGGAAGCAGACAGGAAGACCTGACAGCTTCATCACTGTCCTTGACACCATTGAGAAGTATTCCCCACCAAATGCTCACAGAAAGACYGCCCTGCTCTAGGAAACTCAATGCTTACACAGAGACAGAGGAAAGCAGACTTAAGAGGTGACTAAGGCAGGAACACAACGATGGAACTGGCTCCATCACCAGCTCACTCACCTCTCTGGTGTCGTTGTCCTGGATGAGAGCATACAGTGGCACTACACGGCTGATCTCCAGCAGCACTGGYGTAGGACTGAGTTGTTCCTTGCCTGGGCGCCGACACAAATGGCAGGTTGATGGGCAGCGTCCTTTCTCCTCGCAGTGAATCTCCACACCTGAGATGAGGTGGTCATCAGATAGCATCTGTGCCGTCAGCAGGCCCGAGAGATAGGTGATGAATGGCATGGATTTCAATTCCTTCTTGTTCCCAAGCTCAGTTGTTTCTGGTTTGGTGACAGGGAGAGGAAAGAAAATAAACAGCATAAAATAAATCTCAGCAAAGAGTACTTCCCAAACCCAAACTTCACTGCAGCCAGGATAAATGCAGCTGCTGRTGTAGGCCAGGTGTGAGCAGGAAATCAGAGAAAATCAAGGAGAGAAGTAGAAAAACAGGGCTTGCAGGTCACTGCTTGGAAGTGTAAGCATTTCCAACTTCTAAAGTGACAGAGTTGGCCATGTTTTCTTTCTTCCTTTTTGTAATTTGCACATTCACTTTTTGCATTTTGAGATGAAATAAAACCACCCAAGCACATCTTCTCTACCAAAGAAAACCCTTTCTGAACTCCAAGGAATAACAGTGTTCCAGTGCAGGATACAATTCTGATCCTTCACCACAGAGCCTGGAGCAGGTGCTGGGAGGCTCAACAGATACTGTGCTGTGTTCTTAGATACACTCATGGAAGGAACTATGGAGAAGCATTGCTGTTATTAATGGTAATTAACATTCAGCTTTTAGGAAACAGACCTGGGAAATCCACTGTGAAATTTCATAGTATATCTCAAGGAGATAAATTCAGAGAGTCTTACTTGTTCTTCCTTAGCTCAAACACTTGCTAAGGTCAAGCAAAAGCACTGTGCTCCAGGATGCATTGAGAAGAGGAGCCGGATATCCCATMTTTATACTGTACACTCCTATTTAAACTGTGTTTGTAGACACTCCTCTTGGGTTGATCCAAGAGGAAAGTCCCAACCTTCTTGGCCTAGTAATGGGCCTACAGAAGAGAAGTTTCTCTGTCCTGTGCCTAAGCAAGGCTCGCAGCATTGTGAGATGGATGGATGGATGGATGGAGGGATGGATGGATGGATGGATGGATGGAGGGATGGATGGGAGGGAGGGAGGAAGGGATGGATGGATGGATAGATGAATAGATAAAGGTCTTTTGCCTTCAGCAACCTCCCAGTCCAAAGAAGCTATACAAGAACAAAACTCAGTGGCCTCAGCTTGCAGTGACATGCAGTTGATGTGGCAAGGAGCATGTCAGTTAGAAATACAAATAAACACACTATTCATTCATTATTCTCTAAGCCCTTCAGGCTAGGGACAGCCCGTCCCCCTCCCTCTGAATGTCAGGGAACACTTATGTGCACAGGATCAAAGCTGTCAGAGCAGGAATGAGCAAATTCCAACGCACCCATCTTTCAGCAGGATTAAAGAGGGRCAGTTGCTAAGATAAATTGAAACATGTCTGTGAAGGAGGTGTCTCAGCATCAGTGGAGACAGTGGTATACACAGACATGGAAAAAGAGAGCTGGATCTGGTTCTTGGAGGGATTACAAATCTGGGAGAGTGGCTCCAGCCAATTTCAAGCCTGATAAGAGAAAGCCATGAAGCTGCAAGGAATTGTGTGGCTCAGAGGAATGGAAGCCGCAAGGTGATTCCACAGGCCTCTCCTCGCTTCTAGATAGGAGTAACACTTTCTTCTTTTTTAATATAGCTACCAAAGTACATTTAGAAAAAAAGAAGATTATGATGTCAATACCCTGTCTGGGCTGCAAAACTTATTTATGCGAATTCAAGCAGTGATTTCAGGGGACTTCCACCAGGAAATATGTTTAGGAACCATGTTTTAAGTGAGCACATAAGCATCAAAGTAAGAGAAAGGGAATAACTCAATCTCATGATTGACAATATTATATCAAGTCCTTCAACATTGGTGTGATAGCTAAGGATTATAAACCACAGACATCTAATGGCTGGATATGTCACAGAATCACAGAATGCTTAAGGTTGGAAGGGACTCCTAGAAACCATCTAGTCCAACTGCCTGCTCCAGCAACACCTGGAGCATGTGGCACAGGGTCACATCCAGGTGGATTTTGAAGATCTCCAGAGGAGTCTCCACAGCCTCCCTGGGCAGCCTGTTCCAAGGTTCTGTCACCTTCACAGGAAAGAAGTTGCTCCTCATGTGGAGAAGGAACTGCCTGTTTAAATTTGTACCCATTACCTCTTATCCCATCACTGGCCAGCATCAAGAAGAGTTTGGCCCCATCCTCTCTACATTCTCCCCTCAGGYACTTTTACATATTGATGAGATCTCCTCTCAGCCTTCTGTTCTCCAGGCTAAACAGGACCAGCTCACTTAATTTTTCTTCATATGGTAGATGCTCCATTCCCTTAATCATTTTTGTCCCTGTACGTTGGACCCTCTCTAGAACCTCCACATCCCTGTTGTACTGGAGAGCCCAGAACTGCACCCAGTACTCCAGGTGTGGCCCCACTAGACCTTAGTAGTGGGGCAGGATCCCCTCCCTTAACCTGCTGGCAACACTCCTCCTCATGCAGGACAGGATCCCATTGGCCTTCTTGGCTACAAGGCCAAGAAGTGGCCTTCTTGGCCACAAGTGTCCTTCACTCAGGCTTGGGAAGAGTCAATAAGAAGTCACAATGGATCAGCTCTTGCCTAAAGATTTGACATGCAGTTTCAAGCCTTTCTGAAAATCATTGTCCAAATTACACAAGAAGTTTATGTCACCTCATTTAGCACTATTGGGCAGTCCCTGTATGAACCAACCATCAATGACTCCATGAAAATGGCACAACAATTTAGCACTCAGCAAGGGCTGTCCTGCAAAACCATACAGAAACAATAGCTTTTGTTTCAAAAATTATTAGTGAAATTCTATGTTGTCCTCATCCACCCAAACTATACTCACTTTGCAAGGTAAGTCCAGTAACAAAGTGATTTCCTAATCATTTGCCTAAAAAACTGCAAGTATGCCTCTTCAAAGCTAACTCTGTAGCTGGCAGTGATAGATATTTGGCAACAACAGACATTTCTGTGCAGTTGATCTCATCATCACTTACATTGACCTCCACGCCTCACTCCTTCCGATGAAGGGAGCTTAGGGTGGATGGGCAGTATGGTCAAGCTCCTGGAGCATTCTAGGATGCCTTGCCCTGAGGCTCTTATCAAAGTTCTCTGCTCTGTGCTTTTCTGCCTTTGTTATCTGTCTTTTCTGATTCGAAGCATAGGGCACCTTCTCCTGATGAATTTCACATGGTGCTTGTGGTCTTTGGTGCTATTAAGAGTACAAACGAGCAGTAACTTCTCTTGGTCTTCCTCAGTTACACTCTGCATTTGCATGGAGCAAGCTGAGGCAAGCACAGAGTAAATTAAACCTCTGAGCAAGAGAGGGATAACTCCAAGAGTGCTTGGCTTGTGAGTTCAGCAATCTCCCTGCATTGCCCCGTGCTGAGTGACAACACTGCTTGATTGATGCTGTTGGGAGAGCTTTAATTCAAATTGTTGTATTAGCTGCCTCATCCTGGAATACAGATGAAGCTCCATGCAGTTCTACTCCACCACAGATGTCACCTTGGAGAAGGAGAGGACATGGCTTCCCTGCAAGTGGTGGGCTAGAGCTGGCTAGACGAGGACAGCAGCCCTCCAGCTTCTATCCACTTAAAACACAAATCCCTTTAGCAGGGGGAAAAAATGAACAGGAGCTCACTGAACATGTCCTGCACAACTAGTCACCTTGTTCACCCATCGCTCCCTGGAAAGGGCACTGCAGCTGTTTTGGGATGGTAGAAGTGGTAGTTTAAAAGCACTCAAGAGGGACTAGCATCAGGAAAAGGGCTCCTCCTTCCTTCTGAAGGAAATACAAAGGGATTAAAGCCTCTTCAATAGTAGCAGTCACCAAGTGGATCTGCACTGGGACATAATTTGATTTCTACAAATAATAATAAAATAAATTTAAAAAAAAAAAAAGATAGAAAAAACAGTGGCTCATTGGGGAAGCTGCATGAGTAGTGCAGCTCTCCTTGMATAGCAGGCACACTCTGTCAGTAATGGAAGATTAACCATGGGTTCGGGTGACTTGTGACAGACTTGTCAGCACAGTAGATTTCATAGGTTAGATAGAAATGTGTGTCTGCATTTAATCCTTCTTATTACAGCTGAAGCCCSAGTCACTTTGGGGAACAAGAATACTTTGTAGACCGCATTCCTGGGGACGTAAGGGGTTACTGTAGTTCAGGTTAACAGTTCAATGTGCTGGCAACTGATTCATGGTGTTCCCTTGTATCAAAAAGGCTCCGGGTTCAACTCCAGATGACAAAAATGGAACAAAACACAGCTCAGTGGAGGGAGACAGGCATCACTGCCAAATTGCCAGCCTAGAAGACTAGACTAGAAGTCATCATTGCTGGATAGCAATTCCTGATAGCTTTTGTGGAATGAGCTTTGGGGGCCTAAGTACAATCCTAAGGGAATAATCACCCCATTTCTGCAATTAAAATCCATTCTGAGTGCTGGCTGCACAACCTGCTTTGTGAGCCAGCTGCTTCAGAGTCAGGGAGAGGCAGTGAGGAGGAACTGCTGGTCCTCATCTACTTGCTCCGGGAGCGGAAAGCATCAGCTCCAGGTGCCTTCAGCATTTGTTCCCAGAAAGCTGGTGGTTTCCACAATCGAGACTGTTTCTTTCTCTCACTTCACCTGTCACCTCCAGGGTCTCACAGAAGAGTAAATTGAATCAGGGAGAAATATTCCCCCAAAACACATCAGCTTTATTCCTGGACTTGCTGTTGCAACTTGAGCTGAAGAATTGAGAGAGAACGGGATCTCTATATCTCTCTCTTTACTATGTCTGAGATGAATTTCAGCTATTTGTTCAGTTATTTGCATGCAAATAAGGGACTCACAAGCCAACCTACTCTCCCCAAAGCAAACCCAACAGTGAACTGGAGAAACCTTGTGTGTTCCTGGAGGCTTGATCTGGCTTTTATTACCTAGTTGCTGTACAATATTCGTCAGCGCTGAGGCCCAGCTGACTGGCTTCTTGGACTAAAAAATGCATGGTCCAATCCTATTTCTGATGAAATCAAAGGACGTTTTTACCATTGGATTAGAGAGAATCAGAACCAGACCCTGAAACTTAACATTGAAATGCCATCTCCAGTTGCCACTGAAGCCAACAGAAACACTCTTGTTGTCTTCACTGC